AATTAAAAATTTTTTGAAAAATATCAAATTTGGGTTATTCAATAAACCTTTTCCAAATGATGAAATTCAATACATTTTTTTGTACTTACATAATTTTTCTGACTGAACTTTGACTCATTAAATATGTGATTTGCAGAAATGTTACAATTTCTGTCCTTTGTAACACTATGTAAAATCAGTTATCTAAGATTTTTTTCATAAAATTATAAAACAAAAATAAAAAAAAACAACAGTTCTGCTTAATATGAAAGGCTGAAGCCAAGTGCAAAAATAAACAACTTTGAAAAGTGGGTTTACATTATTTTCTATCTTTGTTACATCTTTAAACGAAATAGCTGCATTAACTCTTTTTGTTAAGGGGGCAAAATTGTATAATTCTCGAAATGCGGTACAGGGGCCACTAACTTTTTTACAAAAGGCTAAAAACGGCCCCAGGGCCACACTTTGAACACCACTTGTTTTAGTGTAATTGAATAAATAATACAGGACTGGCATGTCTTAGAGTTTCATCTAGTTTAATGTTTAATTCTCTCTTGCCTTCAAAGAACATCTCATCCCTACGACAGTAAGAGATGGATGGAGCAGAGAAGGGCAGATTTGAGCTGCCTATCCAACCGAGAGGCAACTATGGCCATTAAAGGAGAAAAAGTTTAGATGAACAAAAAGCTTTTTAGATGTACTGCAATAAAACTGCCTAGAACTGCTTAAAACTACCAGGACTAAACATTATTACAAGATCAACCATGACCACAGGCGTCAACATTACTATGGCTTATTTACAAAAGACAAGCTTTACAGAGATGACTTCTACATAGGGTTTTAAACATTAAATGGGTTTATCCTAAATGAGCTCTTACCCTTACTTTTAATGGTAATTTCTCAGTAGTAATCAAAGTCACATTATCATTGAAGGCTGACTATTGGACGGTCTTTTAACATCAAGTTCAGACAGAAAAATTCACTTCTGACCAACAAAGTGTTTCTGTGAAATAACGTATCATACACACAGATTTCTGAAAAATTAGTAAAGTATGATTTTCATTGTGATGAAGCCAAAATACAGAATGTTGGATTTTAACACTTTCTCCAAAGCTTTTTTAGACAGTCAACAAAATTTGAGACATACGCATCAAGATAAGACTTGGTAAAGACGCAACATAGACGACGTTGCCTTCTGTATAAAAAATGACAAACTGGCTTAGAAATAAAGCCGTCCGACTGAAGATGTCTGTTCACCTCTAATTGTATTAGAGATGATCCGACGAGCGAATAAAGTCCAACCCTTACCCTGTTTTTATCGACTAAATATGATAATTGGGCTAAAAAGACTGATTTCGATGTGGACATCAAAGTGACAAATTGATGGGTTTATCAGTTTGCATAGAACAGAAAATGTTTTCTTATTGATTTTTTTAAATTATTATTATTATTAGATGCAAAGACATGGAAATATCAAAGTTTTTAGGTCCAATCCCCTCCGCTACAGTAATGAGTTTGAATTTGCTCCTTTAAACTTCCTCGCAACATTGATTTATCAATAGCAAAAGGGCGCTTCTTATAAGCAAACTGGTAAGCTGCTTCAGGTGGTAAAATAAACATTAAATCTGAAAAAAAAAATACTAAACTGACTGTCTTAAACCTTCTTCTCATCTGATCAAACGTTTGACGTTGAGACACATTCTTTGAGATCGACCTTTCATCATATTGTTTCCTACATCCTTTACGCTAAACATATTAAACAAGCTTCATTATTTTTAATGTTGATTTTTCTTTTCATTTTTTTTATTTGGTTGTTCAGTTTTAGGCGCAGTCGCGTTTTAAAACACCAATCACTATGAAGGCTGACTTTACTCCTCTTATACGTTAGTTTTCTAGTTTTTTTTGTTTTGTTTGTGGTTTTACTGAAACTCCTAAAAATTGTAAACAAACTTTAACTTATGTATTTGATAAAATTTCACAATCCAAGTTTTTGAGCTATAATCCAGCCTGAAAACTCCTATTTCAAATAACAGGAAACGTTTAAAGATACTAAAAAGATGCAGATGTATGATTTTTTTCCATGTAACAACCAATAAGAGGTAATTATTCTTATTCTGGCTTTAATTAACAGCTGTATGTCTTTCCTCTAGACCAATCACTGCTGTGGGAGGTACATCGGTGCTTAAAAACAGGGCTCGTCAGATAAATACAAAGCATTTCCGCCTGACTCTGGATCACCGAGCACATACCTGAGCTTGACACTTTAAAGGTTTGTAAGTATGCATTTTTTATTTTAACCTTCATTTGCACTTATTTTAAAATGGCTAAACTGCTCTTAAAGTCTCTAATAAACACGTTTTTGAATAACTGCCTTTGAAAACACTGCTTTTGAATTAGGCAATGTTTTCCAGTCAATTTCTCGCATGTCCGTCGGGGCCTTATGTGATGGGAAACAAAAATACCTTTCTAGTACATTTAAACAGTTCAATTAACTGACAAAAAGAGAATGGTAAGATTCAAGGGGGGTTCTGCTCTTTTTCAACAGATTTATAGTAGTTGTTTATGAGAAATTGCCTCAGCTGTCATGTAAAAAACAGACACTCTCTATCATTAGACAGATGAACGAGAGCTGTTAAAGTCCAAACACTTCAGCAAAAATGGGCCTGACAAGGCCTCTGTCAATATGAAATTGTTCATCACATCTTAACAACATCCATAAACAGACATAAATACTATATATATATATTTATTTATATATATATAGATACAAAGTAATTACTAAATACTAAAGCGTAAATCCCATTTTTTATTTATAAATTTTTTTAACAAACTGCACATTTACAAACAGAGCGGCAGTAGCGCTCATTGTAGGGGTCAGTGTCCAATACTGTAAATGT